CTAGAATAGAATAAGCTACAAAACTGCATACTCAAAATCCTTCTAAAAAATCGAAATGTTAACGAAAGTTTGTTGAATTTGTTTTCTAAATATTGCACAAAGTTTGAAACTTAGATTTACACGGTTTTTGTTAAAGCATGAACTTATAAAATTCAATTCAAAATTAACAAAAAAACTTAAATAATATGTACATAGTTTCTTATGTCACAGCGTCTTGAATTCCCCACAAAAACGGTCCACTCCCCGATTCCCCACGCAAACTGAAATTCCCCGCAAGTCCCGCAAATCGGAGAATTCCCCACGAGTTGGCTTCCCTGCTTGGAGGGGAAGTTGCTAATTCCTGCTGGAAAAATGTTTGCCAGCAGCAATTTGCCCACAAGAAAAACAGCTGATTAAAGTTATGTGTTTGGCCCTTATTATGAGTTGCATTCGATAGCCAGCGAAGATCGAAGATCGAAAGTGAAATTCGTATTATGAGCTATGCAAGCGTGTCGAAATTTTCGTTGAGTATCGAATTTTCTGACGAACAGAACTTTGCTTTCGTTGGTGTAGCGAAGTTTTAGAAAATTGTGAAAAATTTTGCATTTGTTTTCTTACTTTTGGCGGGTAGATACTGATTTCAAAAAAATTTTATTATTTCCATGCAATTCTAACGTCGTGAATACTAAACACAAGCTCGAAAGTCTGGTTTTACTTATGAAAGAAAATCCCAATACGCTGTTGGCACGATCTCTGAGAAGAAAATCATAGAGCTGTATATATATTGTGTCAAAATATATATTCAGATCCTGGCCAGTTTTCTAAGCTCTCATCCTCTTACGAATCGTTCAACCAGGGCTCGAATCGTAACAGTCGTGAACGAGAAAATCGTCAAGTAAAAATGACAGAATCGGATTGTGACAGACGTGAACGAACTTCTCATATCGTAATTCGGTATTATGACAGGCGTGAACGAGCGAATGAACGTACTCCTCAAGTAGCACAAAAGTCAAAAATACACCAAAATATTTTGTGTATTTTTTACATCGGCGTGATATACATTTTCAATATAAAAAATATGCTATTTATAAGCGCAGTTTTTGAACAGTTTATTTCGATTCAGTGCAAAGGTTATACCGCTTTTTCGTGCATTATTTACACCTACCGTAAATTTTTTTTACTGATTTTCGGCATATATATGATGCCAGTGGTATACAAGTTTTCTTGTTTCTAGAACATAATATAAACTCCGTTGGTGTAAAATACGTATTGGTATTGGCTCAAATCATACACCATAATGGTAAAGAATTTACATCATATTCTAGCATAAATATATTTTCATGAGTGTGAAGAGTACAAAAGGATTCGAGGAATAAAATTTACTACTAATCAAATTTAAAATTAACTCAGACATAAAATTTACACCGAAGCTCTTTTTTAATCTGCGCGACTTGGAATTCTTTTTATAAATCTCAGCATTCCTTTTCGTAATATGCAGGCAAGAAAATCGCGAATATATATGAATGTGAGTTCCTAATTTAAAAACGAGGTACATTCTGTCGAGTGAATTTCGGTACTACCCCCTCTAAAACTCGAGCGCCTTAAAATTTATAAGGATTTGAAGATTTTTAAATAAATCAGGAAAAACTTATATTTTGAAAGCAATAAATTTTTCTCCATTATTAAATTTTTAAGAGATGCGCTGTTTAAAAAAGGTTCGAAAATACACATAAAATGGCATAGTTGAGCCAATGTACATTATGAAATTGTTAAATTAGTTAAATAATAGTCATACAGCTTTAATATGGCGTCCAGCTGAGTTTCAGTATTAGGCTAAGTTTACAACCTAACGTATTAGCGTAGCGAGAATACATAAAAATCGCTTCTAACCAACATTTACACAGTCTTTGGTGTTTATCGCTGTGCAAGCAAATAAAAATTATGCAGTTTGTTAAAAAAGCTTTTTCTCATACTTAAAGCCCAAATAAATAAAAAATATACATATGTACATATTTATATAATAAATTAAACATCTCTTCTACTGCTATTATATACAATACAATATGCTTAAGTTTCGGTATAAATTGTCAAAGGGTTGTGGAAACAAAAAAAATATATTAGGGGAATCCCTACGTAGCAATGTATCACACGTTTTGTTGCTTTCCCAACATCAAAATATGTGCTAGATTGGTACGTAGCAACTTTAAATCTAAAATGTTACTCATCGTAAACTCCCCTATTATAAAAAATTAGTTGTGTATAATTTTGCTGCAATTTAAACACTAGCTACTTTTTAAGCTGCTGGCGATTATGCTGGCGAAGAAGTTTCTTTGGATTGAGCGATTTCCATTGCATCGCGTAACGCTATTACTCTAGGTTGTGAACTTAGCCTTACTTTTATAATACTTTGAAAATATGGTCGTCGTTGAAAACTTACACAGATTCTTGAGTTTGGTACAAAAATATTTACCAAGCCAAGAACGGTGTATTTATTTTTCCCTAGACACAATTCAGTTTGAGAATTTGGTATAAAAAATGTTTCTTGCCAAATGAACACAGTTGACAGAAGTTTAAGCGCCTACCACACGTCCATTATTCGAACGCAAACGCGAACGTATACATTTCAACATGTTTTGTTAACGTACGCCTATGTTATGTAAAAAAAATTGTCGCTGTTGTTCGTACTCATATATACTATGCAACTTATAGCTGCATTTGTGAAGGCATGATGTTGAATCATTAGTACCCAAACAAACTTTAAGCGTGTAGGGGTGCCTTATTGATGCATATTTCACCACTGGTGTATTAAATATACCAACCAGTGTTACCACTCGACAATATTTTTAGGAACAAAAAATCCTACCAAATCAGTTTCCAAACTACCAATTTTTTTTAATCATCAGATATTGATATTTTATTTCGTTCCTGATTTTACTTCATGCAAAAGTATGAATCTTTGATATTAATTAAATTTATATCAATTATTTTATGTCTAAAATGTAAAAAAAAATACAATCGATATAAACATTTTATATTTGGTAACAAAAAAAATGTATTACTGTGCTCGCGCAATTTTATTTTTACTTATCTGTTTTCATTTAACCATGATGCAATAAAATTACGGAATGTCAGCAACATAATCTTAATATTTCGTTACGAGTTTTAAGCCATTTTAGCACGCTTTCAGTACGCTTTTCTACTTTCACATCACCATTGTATTACCGCCATTCAAAAAAATTTATTTAAAATTTTTACAAATGTTCTAATAAACGAATACTATGCAACAACAGCTCAATGCATTTTTGACATTTCGAATAGGATTTATTTTCTATTATAACTTCAAAACTTTGATAGGATTGCAAAACATCTTTAAAATTTGGAACCGGAAATCCAAATCGATGAGAAATCAATTTCGAACGCAACCAGAACAGCCCTGAAATGAAACTACCAATTTATCAAAACGGTAACACTGATAGCAGCTCTACTTGGTGTATGTATAAGCTCATATTGAAACAGGCAGCGTATTATGTGCACACACACTAGCTTTGTTTCTTTACTTTCCTAGCAGATCTTTATCAGGAAGAAGAATGGGAAGAATTACAGAATTACGCTCACAGCGAGTGAAATATAGAAAAAGTCAAGAAACGCAAACTAGCAGAAACTAGCTAGTAAACACCTGACCGATGCTTTTGACAACTGAACATATGTACTTGCTGCGAATTTTTAATCGCATTTTATGTTTAAAAATTGTTCACAAATACTCAGGTTTTGCCACACTTTATCAAATTTAATAAATCGCCCATTTTGATCAAAAAATACAAAAATATGTAAAATAAGCAAATCAAAGTAGCTGTGCCTAATCTCTCTAATGTTGGAGCAACAGCTGAATTTTTCACCGCATAACGTGAAAATTATGTGTTTCTTGTAATTTGCTTTTGTAATTTTTTACTTATATTCGGCTAACACTACCTTGTGTAAATGCGCCTATCTGTAAAGAAACAAAGCTACCTTGTGGTGTATTCAATATTCATTTTTTGGTGAATTCTTTGGTCCCCTGTCAATTGCTCTCAGAATTTGTGATGTGCTGAGTCGCTACTTTTAAGTATTGATCGATACTCGGTACCGATTTAAAAAGTATCAAATATTTTCGAAGCTCGGTACCGAGATCTTGGAATTTCTAATAAAAGCGCGCAACAGCCAAAAATATGAGTTATATGTACACATACATATAGTGTCAGCTATTAAAAATAAATAATATTGCCACCAGAATTATTGCAATTGGAAAGACGGTTGCGATAAGTAAAAGAAGGCGAGAGTGTGTTTTGCGACATCAGTATCAGGGCGAATTTAATAAGGTGGTGTTACAGGAGTATCTGAATTTTTCGCCGTGGAGGACATTACATCAAAATTACGTGTTTGTTGTAGTTCATACTAATGACAGTATGAATATCTGCGTATAATTTGTTAGTGTAATTTTTTACTTATATACGGCTAACACCACCTTATTAAATTCGCTTTGATCATTATTGTGCAGATTTAATTGCCTGCCTTGTTCGACGCACACATTATACTTTGCTTCACTTAACTACATACATACAAACACATTGCTCATCTCTTGAGAAAGGAACGTCTTATTTGTACATTTTGGGTTTTTAGGCGATGTCTTATAAAATATCAATAATTTTTACCCCCAAAAGTAGCCTATGTCGAGATAGCTCCTTTTCCCTTTAAAGCCCCATTTCATTGGACTCCCAAAAAATATTTTAACGTTTAACTAGCCAAAGATGTAGTTCAAGATGCCCCTATAATAGAATCTTAATTAAAATATAAAACAATTTCAAAGTATTGGGTACCGAAATTTTTTTCAAGTATTGGGTACCGAGAATTCAGCACATCACTACTCAGAATGTCGCCTGAATAATTTTAATGACATTTGTTAACGTGGAGGGAGCTATTTGTGAACCAAATGAAAAAAGTGGCGCATTTTAGGAGCTGGTGTAGTTTTCGTACTAATCTCAATGAATAAATAGTACCAAAATGTTAAAGGTAGAATTTTGATTTGAAAGAAATACTGGTGGAATAACAAATACACCAAAACATTCTTTTTTATTCAATCTAATCAGATTTGTACCAAAATCCATAAATTTACACCAATTTATACACCAGTGTGCTACTTGAGCCGTTCGTTGGAACTGTCATTCGATTAATATTTGACGAACGTACGCGCGCAAAATTTGATACAATTTTTTGAAAAATGTAAGTAATTATAAAATTTGTGCAAACATATACAAGTTTATAGCTATTTTTCTTATTTTAGGACCAACTACAATAACTTAAACTCTACGCAGATGGAACTCATGGCGGAGTTCATGGCCGAACACCCTGACTTGGCAAAGAATTTACTCCTAAACTGCTCGCAGGGAAAAGCAACGGCCAACCGTTGGTGGGAAAACCTCACCAAACAATTACATGTTTCAGGAGTCATGGGCTGCACCTCCATATTGACAATTTGTGGCAAGAATCTTGCAAGTGTGGGCACAAATCTGGCAAACGGAATATTGACAATAAAATGTTAAAATGAAAGAAAAGAAACTTACTAGCATAACGTTAAGACTATGGTTGAAGTACATGTGCTCGTCTCTAATTGGCTTTTGTAATCCAATCTGTGTTCCGTCTACGCATCCAACCACTAAAAGGAAAAATATTGGATTCACTACGCATTTCATTAGAACGCCTCTTCCTACCTCCAGGTATTTTATATTTTTGCGCAAACCACTCCTTACATCTTGAAGATTCGTTGGGCTGGTTACTTAGATTCATGCGCTTCGTGTAAGTACTTATTTTTTAAATGTGCGTAGTCGAAACGACGAAGGATGAACTTTGTGTATGTTTTACGTTCATGTTTTCAAAGTAATTTTCTTAAGTTTTTTTTTTGTATTTGTTTATATATTTTTCTTGTGCAGTTATAACACACGATGAATGCAACCAAAAGTTATATCGACGAAAAAGAAAATTGCGCAATTTGGCCCCCTTCTAAGCGATGCTTAACAAATCATCCTGTGCAAAATGTCAAAAAAGTCTCTGTGGAGAGCATAAAATAAAGCTTTGCGCCTCTTGCACAAAATGAGAACTGTCGTATCTGAAAATGTTTTCCTTTTTTAGTTCATAGTATTATTTTTAAGAAAAAAACACTTTAAATGAATTATATGTACTTTAAGTTATTTATTCTTTATATTTTCCAATTAATGTTTTGTACAAAAAGCCAAATGAATCAGAGCTGTGAAATCTTGAATTTCAATCAAAAGACTAAAGAAAAAATACTTGATATTGTTTTATTTAAAAAAAAATATAAACAAAATAATGTGAAAATAATAATTTTGAGCATTTTGATACACAGGTTAATTTAATAACGCCTTTAAGAAATGCCGTCGTCGAAACGACGAAGGATGACCTTTGCGTTATAAAAATAACGATGACCTTCCAGGGTTAATTTGCACCAATTTACATATGTACATATGTGTAAGCACACTATTTAGTTTGCTCGATTTGTAAACAAAGCTTATCAGCAGTGAAAAATATACTATAGTGAACAACCTAAACGAGCGAAATTCACAACAGCGCTATTCTTCATCGAATGAGCGCCATAATACCAAATGAAAATTCGTTCGATCAGCATTTGCGACCACAGTCGAAGATCGAATGCAACTCATAATAGAGGCCTTTGGCAATTACGAAAGTAGTGAAATTTGTTTTGATGGTTTTTAAGTTTAAAATAACTTATCAGAACTGCAAATGTTTCAAAAAAGCAAATGCCTATTAATTTAAGTTTGCTTAGCAAATTGTTTTAGGCAGACTTATAATTCATGTTTTCTCTTTTCATGTTTTCTGTTTTATGCTTTTGTATGTAAACTAAATTTCGATCAGCTGTACTAACAACTTGCAAGTTTTTGCTGATTTTGCGTTCGCGTACTTTTTTGGATATTTAAAAATTTGAGAAATAATCGTTCGTTACACTCCTGCAAGTTCCTGCTGTATATTTTTCACTGGAGATCCATTCGAACAGAAGCTGTTGTTTAAAACCGATTAGTGGAACTTTTTCTTGACTTACTTTTTTAATTTTGTGCTTTAGCTTTTGAAATCGTTGAATGAACTGTCGGTTCACGGTTTTCTAACCCCGAATTTTCCTGTCGGATGTGACTCAAAGCCAAACGGGCCCTTTGCGAAAAAAGTGTCAAAAACTCTCGTTTTTGCAATATTTGAGAAGCTCCAGCAAAGAAATAAAAGTTAGAGCTAGAGCTATCGACCAATGTCTGTAAAAATACTATCCCAGCACCTTGATCTGATCGTCACTTATTGAACAATAAAAAAAATACTGGAAAATTGTGCTGCTGAAAAACAAATTTTGTCAAAATCAGATTTTTCTGTACAATAAATGACTATAAGTGACCTTAGCGTCAAGGTGCAGGGATGGTATTCTTAGGGATTTTAGTCAAAAGTTCAAGGCTTAATGTAAGCCTAAGTGGAAGGTTCTATCATCTTTCTTTAATTGCAGTAGGTACTCAAACTTCGCCAAAATCAGTTTTTGCAGTTCAATAAATGACTAAAAGCGGCCATCACAGGTCAGTGTAGTCGAGAGTCCTAGCTTTAATTTAAGCGTAAGTGGAAGGTTATGTCACCTTTCTTTCCTTTGCTAGAGCTTCTCAAATATTGCAAAAAACGTGATTCTTTTACACTTTGAACTCGTTTTTCTCAAAATTTGGAGCCGATGGAAACTTTATACTTATGGATTCGTAATCAGCACAAACAAGTCTATCAAAGACAGCTTTAACATTTTGTCTTTTTCTACTTCCGCGTATTAGCCAAATTCCTACCCAAATTTTGCGAGCGATGAATTATAGTTATCAGCCACCGGTCAAGAAAACAAACAAACTCTGAGGCGGGATTCTGAAATCGATAAGGCCTCCAAATTGTTGTTAGAGGACCAAATAAATATCGAACAATTTTTACTGAAGGCTTAACAAAAGGTAATCGAGAAAACCTTATTAGAAAACGATAAATAAGACGAATTGGACATTGAAATTAAGGACGAATTGTATAATGACCTGATTGATTTTGCTAAGGAAAATACGAACGTATTTCTGACGAGCCTCAAGGAGTTCCAAACTCTGGAAGTCTCTTAATCTGTATAAACTGTAAAATAAATCCATGCGAAATTTTATTTATTCCGTGTGGTCATTTAATATTATGCGAATTCTGTCACAAACCTTCAAAAATTGCAAATTGCCATGAATGTCAAGTAAATACTCAAAGTGTTGTTCGAGTGATATTATAATTTATTCTTGGTATACAAACTAATAATATGTAGTTGAAATCATATAAATCATATAAATGAAATAAATTAATAAATATTCATGGTTGAACTGAAACCGTAATTGAGCTTTGTTCCTAAGAAGTAATAATTAGATCAGCAGAGAGGGGCAGCGCCATCCAATGAGCGCGCGGAGTGTTCCGATCGCTCACTGAGTGCCGCTCCTCTCTCTGGCGATCTAACTATTGTGAAAGTTAAGTAATGGCATACCTTCCGTGAGATTTTCGTAGAAATCTTCCAGAAATTCTGTCTTGCGTGCTGAGCTTCTGTTAAGTGATCAGACGATCTCTACACACATAAGTCACCATGAAAACTGTTTCTGTATTACTTACATAGCTTTTTCTACTTCAAAAGGACTACTACACGCATCCCTTAGCCCGAGGCCACGAAATTAGCGGTAAAGCGGCTGGGCGGTGAGCGACTTAAAATTAAAACATGTGTGACCCTATTTTGTATGGCGACTGATAGCCGATGCACATACCGGTATTTTGATAATCTAGGCGGCCAAAAGTCAATTTTGTAAAATGCATTAATTGATTTTAATAATGAATAAAATTGAAAGAGAACACAATAGAGTATTCACTCCACCCCCTCTCGCTCGTTTTCGTCGCGTGCGCTACCGCCTTATTGGCAGTCAAAAGTTCATTGCTTATCACACTACACATATCTCGTTCGGCGTTCGGCAAACAACAAATCTTAAAAAAAGTAAAGTTAACTTATTAAAGTTATATGTCTCGTTTTAATGATGGAAATTGAAGCTTCAGGTATGTTTTTTCCAAATTTAATAAATATTTTATAGATTTTGTTCATTAATAACGTAATTTATCGAATTCTGTATAAGGAGAAATAGTGCATTTTTTACACATATTTTTTTTTTATTTGTTAAGCTGAAAGTTATACTTCCAAGTCCGTCCAAGCTTGATTTTTTTTTTCAGATTGTGTTGCGGCGGATTACTTGCGTATATATGGTTGCATCAAAGCTAAGCGACCAATGCGAATTAAGTAAAAAGCGGTTTATTCGGAATTCACTTTCCTTTATTTGGTATATACTTAACTTAATAGATTCAATAGGTTTTTATGCGGAATTATCCAAGGCGGATTAACGTATATAAAA